ACAGTTTAACTGTGTCAGGCTCTTACCCCATGGAGCTCAGCTGCTGTTGCTCCCATGCTGCCATTGAGCTCAGAGAGGGCCCTGCAGCAGAGTTAAAGCCTGATAACTCTCCACTGTTCAGGGAGTAATCTGACAAAGACAGAAGGAGAGAGACTAATAATAATAATAATAATGATGGATTGCATTTATATAGCGCTTTTCGGGACCCCTCAAAGCGCTTTACAATACCACTATTCATTCACTCTCACATTCATACACTACATGCACATCATGCCAATCAAAAAGCATCACATTTCTGTAAAAAGTCAAACATTACCTTTTTTAACAACACTTGAATACAGTATAAACGCTGCACCGCAACTTCTCTTACATTCTTGTTATGAGCTGCTAAGCTACCTGAAACTATTTCACTTTTAGTAATGTGCTGAAAATTTGTAAAAGTGAAACCAGAACTCGCCCACTAGAGCCCTGTATTCGCCCACATGCACGGAGGCCTCTATACTCAGTTTTGAGACACAAGGTAGCTGAGAGGCTTTGAAAGTTGGTATTTTGTTGATGACTGGATTAAATCATTGTGTTTGAAAATACTTATAGTACACAACAACACAGAGAACTCTGTTGTGTAGCATTAGAAAAATATTTCAATACTATATAATTTGGCAACGATCACAGTGTTTTTAGTTAGTTAGCTAACTTTAATTAGCTATTTCAGGGTGTTTTTTTAATATCACTGAATACAGACAAAAAAATTAAATGTTAAAGAAAATTTCAGGCCAGAAAAAAAGTAATTTCCAACTAACAGTGGGATTTCATCTGCCTTGCTACAAGGCAGGGCTGTTATGTGCTTGGTTGTTTTAGGGGAATCTTTAGTCTGCACCTGGGGCCTTGTCTGGTGTGGTAGACCACAGCATCTATGGATCTTGTACTTAGAGCTGGTTCCTGTGCTGCCATGATTAGTGCCTCTGTGATGTCTTTCAATCCAGCTTTGTCCAGACACTGGTAGGATTTCTGAATGTAAGCCACTTCTTCTATCTGCTGCAAACCGTGCATGTGCCTATCCTCCCATGATGGTTTGTCTCCTTGCACCTCTTCTTTCTCGGGTTTCTGCTGCCTGAGGTATTCACTGAGCACATGGTCAGTTGTGGCCATGTTGTTGTTGATGTTTGTTGTCTCATCCTGGACAGTGGTTTGGTTTATTTCAGAGAGATAGAAGGCAGGAGAATAAACCAGCTATACTCAGTTGAAGGGGATATGGGAGAAGGACACAGCCCATAACGGCAGTGCTCAGTGGCTGACCTTTTTGCACACTCACACATCCATGATTCACAGTTACCACTGTGCAGCCAGTGTAGTAGTCCTGGCCAGGTCAACATAAAAAAAACCCAAAAACACACACACACACACACACACACTGTACAAAATCTGATCTAGACTAAATTGGTTTTATTTAACCAGAGAATGTCCTGCCAGTGTTCATAAGACTTCCTTTCATTTTCCTTGGCAAGGTTTAATGTTGTAGTTTTGTTCCACTTGACCACAATGAGCAAAAACGCCCCATATGAAACAATTACCCATCTCTTGTTTGATAGAAGTTTATGCTAACTGCAATTTATGGATACTCACGGAGACTTTTGTTGTTGTTAGTAAGGCTTTTCCTTTACATCCAAACACCTGAGTCATTTTCATTTTACCTATATTCGCAGCCTTTACTCTTGTATTCCATCCCATATGGTTATGAAATCTCACAGCTGCAGTTTGTTATTTTTTCAGGGAATTCCTTACAATCAAGAACTATTAGAAACAATTCAGGCTAAAACCAAAACAAAAAAGTTATTATTTTTCAAGCCGCTTAATAAGCTTGAAAACCTTCCAGTGTGACTGAACTAAAGCATTTCTGGATAGAGGAGTGGGTCAAATTGCCACCATGAATGCCAGACACTGATCTCTAGATATCAAAAGTATGTGGTTGCAGCTACTGCTGCTAAAGCTGGCAGTTTGGCAAGCTATTAGGCCCAGGGAGCAATTCATTTTTTCCACATTCATCTTTTCACTTCCATCCAAGTAGCATTTAAATCTAGCATTTTGTATTTTTTTCAGGCTGCTGTTGCTTTATGTTATTTTTATTTTAAAGATCTAACAGCGTTTATGTTAAATGAATGGAATACACACAAAAATAGAGGAAATTCTTTTAAAAATTGCCCTGATACAGTTGGTCATACCAGTATAAACTGTCTAAAAGAGCTGAAATTTAACACCACTAATTAACTCAACAATTCCATTAACCAATTAAAACAAACCGCAATGTACACTGTTTTCTTATTTGATTCTTTGGGGGGCATTCTGTAAAATATTGAGGTCAGCAGGGCTAAGGTAACTACAGAAACACAGCAGGAATAGTAAAAAGAACTTGTACCGTTGTAGGCAGAGCCAATGCCAGCATAGACCAGACTCTGATGGGGTAGACTGGGTGTGGTGATAGAGACAACTGGTGTGGAAAGAGGCTGACTGGACTGACTGCTACTCATCCTTTGGTTATTCTGAAAACAAATAATAAACAAAGACATAAAGTCACTAAGTTCACTCATGAAATGTTAGTCTTCTCTTAGTTTGTTGCTCTTTGTGTTTAGATCGCAATTATAGTGTTCGCTAGAACTAGACTTGTAATGCCCAATTTCAACCACAAGATGTCAGTATAAGCTCACATCCCCTGTTTTAAAAACAAAACAAAAAAACATTAATCAGTTTAAAATATATAGTTTTGAATTTCCTACACTTCCCATAGTGCTAGCAGAAGTTGCACATGAATTGAACAAGGATTTGCATTCTTCTCAACAAAACTGAATGTTTTGTAAAGACAGGAGTCTAACAGAAATCCACTAACTATTCAGAAACTGCAGTTACTTTTTAAGATCTTTAGTTTAAAAAAATTTACTTTTTGAATGTTTATGTTTAACCCAAGACTTGATAGTCTAATTTATCAGTCAGTTTCCTTTAATGACATGAAATCCTCTTCTTTTCCAAAAAGCGATATCAGTGCAATTTATTTGGCTGTCTGCTTTTGAAAAACACACAACTGAAATATCAACTAGATAGCAGCAGGTAATTCATTCTTAATTATTCATTGTCCTAAAATAGCCTATCAGTTCAGAACAGGTGGCTCATGAACTCAACTTATCACACTGAATTTAGGAGTTGTTTTTCGTTCATCTTTCAATCACGTCACCCTGAACCAGGTCATTCATTGCTCAGCAAACATAAAAACAATGGGTTAACCAACCCATACATGTCTCATTCCCTGTGTTTTCTATGGTGTCCTTGCGTTTGTGGACTACAGATAATGCACTACAGAATCCAAGTTAAAGCTATTATGGTAGTGAGTAGTAGACACAGACATCCTGTTAAGAAATGCAGACCTCCTCAGTTGTTTTTGCTTTGTTGGGTTTGCCTGTTTGTGCAAAACACACTAAACAAAGCACGCCGCTTACACTAACATGTGCACACATGCATACGGGAGGAAGTGAAAGGCAGTTTCAAAATGATCACACTGAGGAGGAGTTGTGAGACCACAACACAACATCTTTTGCTGGAGTGAATGAAAAGCAGAAAGAAAAATACGAGTGGCTTCTTCTGTTGGTTTAAACAGGGTGGAGGCATTAGCCGTATCACGGTTCGGATTTTATAAGCGTTCCAGCTTCAAACGACTGCAAACCCATTCAGCACAGTTTCTGAAAACTAAATCAGACTCTGCCAGATTCTGTTTCCTGCAAACATGACAACAATATATTATTTGTCACCCAGTCACCGATAATTGACAAACAGATAAGATCAACAGAATGATGAGGAATTATGATTACTTAATGTGGAATGAATGGCTGCTGATTCATCACTTCT